TCTGCAAACAGAAAACAGAACATCACACCTCAGGTTCACAATGACACTTTGTAATTGACCTTCAGAGCTAAAATTGGACTCAAGATCAGTTTATGTTATTTTCTCAAGCCTACTCAATAGATTTTCTCATACTATTCAAAGACAACAACAATAATTTGCTCAATTTCAAAAACAGGATAAAATTGACTCGAACCATTGGACTTGTTGAGGGTGATCCTAACAAATGGGTCGATCCTGAAAAACTCCAACTGGACATCGGTTCCCTGGAAGGATTCCCACTTTCCATTCACCAGCTCTTCAATTCTGATGCTGTAAACCTGGATTGACAGAAAAGAAATATAATTATGTTATTTGCCAGCCGGGAGGTCTGTATAATGAAAAACTGTGACCGTGGTCTTTAAAATGCAGCATTTTCAAGCCCGAGGTCAAAAATCCAGCCTGTAGTGGGCTGCATTGTCAAAAGCTGGACCAGTCACGAGCACGTGATTAGCCAATCAAATTCAAGGATTTAGGCTTCTGGCTCACTCAGATACTTGAGAAAAAATAAATAGAATATGTTACGTGGCTGTGAACAGATACGAAATTCATCTTCAAGTATTTACAACACAAGAAGAGAAATTTCATATCTCAAAGCGGCCATGTAACATTCTATTATTATATTAACACCAATAAAATACCAAAAAATTTCACTGTGGTTGCAAAAGGCGTGATTTATTATGTAATGTAGCAATTGCTACTTTTTAACTTGTGAAGATATCATGTTTTTGCAGGAAAGATCACCTGGTATTTCATTGGTGTTTCCAGAATCTCAAGGATTAAATAATCCCTTTACATTTGACAGCTAGATATTCCTAAGAAAAACGTGTATCCATGGCATATAGTAACAACAAGGTGATCTGGTAGCCTTCAAAGTATGCATTATTTTATGAACAGAGAGGACTTTTTTGATCACTGTTAAAGACTTTTAGAGCACTTTCTGCCTNTCTGCAAACAGAAAACAGAACATCACACCTCAGGTTCACAATGACACTTTGTAATTGACCTTCAGAGCTAAAATTGGACTCAAGATCAGTTTATGTTATTTTCTCAAGCCTACTCAATAGATTTTCTCATACTATTCAAAGACAACAACAATAATTTGCTCAATTTCAAAAACAGGATAAAATTGACTCGAACCATTGGACTTGTTGAGGGTGATCCTAACAAATGGGTCGATCCTGAAAAACTCCAACTGGACATCGGTTCCCTGGAAGGATTCCCACTTTCCATTCACCAGCTCTTCAATTCTGATGCTGTAAACCTGGATTGAAAGAAAAGAAATATAATTGTTATTTGCCGGCCGGGAGGTCTGTATAGTGAAAAACTGTGACCGTGGTCTTTAAATTGCAGCATTTTCAAGCCCGAGGTCAAAAATCCAGCCCGTAGTAGGCTGCATCGTCAAAAGCTGGAACGGTCACGAGCCCATGATTAGCCAATCAAATTCCAGGATTTAGGATTCTGGCCCAATCAGATGCTTGAGAAAAAATAAATAGAGTATATTACGTGGCTGTGCACAGATAAGAAATTCATCTTCAAGTATTTACAACACAAGAAGAGAAATTTCGTATCTCAAAGCAGCCATGTAACGTTCTATTATTATATCAACACCAATAAAATACCGAAAAATTTCACTGTGGTTGCAAAAGGCGTGATTTATTATGCAATGATAGCAATTGTTACTTTCTCACTAAGAAGATATCATGTTTTTGCACGAAAGATCACCTGGTACATGTATTTCATTGGTGTTTCCAGAATCTCAAGGATTAAATAATCCTTTTACATTTGACAGCTAGATATTCCTAAGAAAAAAGTGTATCCATGGCATATAGTAACAACAAGGTGATCTGGTAGCCTTCAAAGTATGCATTATTTTATGAACAGAGAGGATTTTTTGATCACTGTTAAAGGGTTTTAGAGCACTTTCTGCCTAGCTCCAGGAAGAAATTATACGACAATGCTTTAGATGGAGAAGCTCTGCTTGGAATGGTAAGCTCCTAACAAGTGGCCTAAAATATCTACTTTTCTGCGTAAGCTTAGATCAAGCAGCTACATGTGCGCTTGTAAATTGCTGTCCTATCCTAGGCAGAAATAAATATACATGTAGGTCTCAACACAACAACTGGAATTGTAAAGATGAGAAACTTCCATTTTCCTGAGAAAATGAATTGAAAACTTGAAGAGAACAACACCCTGTGAACAGTTCCTTGACTCCTACACTGAATGAGAACATAGCACGGTGCTGGGCAGAGGAGAAATTAGCTGCTCGCAGGGTAACATGTTCAAAGGTACATGTACACAAGTAAGAACGTTAACCTCTCTTTCCCTACCACATCCCCCTCCCAAATACCTGGACTGATCTAGCATTGCTATGGTCATAAGTTTAAACTAAATGATTGTTTGATCCCTGATCAGCACGGTGAAACTAGCAGGAAAAGTACAGTCAGGGGAGATATGTTAATCTTCCAATGAGCCAACAGAATCAAGGTTGGGGTTGAGACAAGGGGTTGTGATAAATCAAACAAGAACTGAATTTTGAGCTCATATGATACACATGCATACTGCAAAATAATGCATATTATTTACCACATCTTCTTCTATGGTGTAAGCAACAGGAGGTGAGGCTTCTCCAGCACGGTGATGTTCAACCTCTCCAACACGAAGGACACCATTCTCCTTAAAAACCCACTCACTCAGGGCAATGGCCAGGTCTTGGTTTCCAGTTTTAGAGTACCTAACATCAAGTGATGCACTAGTTAGTACTATTTTTCAAAGAACGAGGCTCTCTTAAGCACTAAATAAGTGCACCATATTGTACTTCACTTTGTTTTTTCATTTGAAATGTTGAAACAATAAGAAATACATAATTTATCAACTTCCGAACCCCATCAAAATCTATTCAACTGGTCATGACATCACATAGTTTAAATAAACAGAAGTTAAAAAACTTCAAATTTTAATTTCTACAATTATAAATACTGTTAATAGAAACATACTGTTTGGAGCCAGCTCTTGCACTCTGCACAGGTCTGTTGAAGTACCTGCATGGTGAAATTACATGTTAACAGTAGGAAGTGAATAAGCAGTCAAAATAAAATTAAACTGCCACAATGAAGATGCTTAGGAAATATCCAATCGCTCTCTGGAAAGTAAAACATGTGCAAGATGGCACAGTCAAGGGCAATCAACAGAGAACAAACAAACAAGAACAAAAGGCCTTTTTTTTCCCCCTAACTAGCAAAGTTTATCAAACTACAATATCAATCAATACTGCACTGAATTTACTGGACTATAACCACAAATGTTCTGAGAGCAAATTGCTCACATGACAGTGAATGGCCAGGTTGACTATAAAAGTTGCAACTCATAACTTTAAACAGCATCAAGCACATACATGTAGTTTCACACAAAAAAATATGCATGTGGTCTAGAAGAGACTTCCATTTCAAAGTAATTTTGAAATTGCACACTTGTACATATTAAGTAGTGCTTGTTTCCAAAACAAATGTAGCAACTTACTCGTCACTGAAGAAATCCAAAGAGCCTGAGAACACAACCCTGGCATTGTTTCTGGCTTGAAGACCAGCAATCAACAGAGTGCTCTTGCCAACGGCATGTGGGTACTGCAACGAATGTTGGTAATGATAATTAGCAACATCAGGTGAGACAGTGGCCTGGCTAGTTTACATCCAAACCTCTACAAGTACCTAAGGGACAACTCAGTCAATTAACACTTAACATACCTCAGAGATCTTGACATCAGGATAGTAAGAGTAAGCAGTAGAGGATGCAGTCAACACCTCCATTACCAAAGGATTGTCAGTGTCAGCAGTCATTCTGTTAAGGGAATGCAACAGAGAATAAGTTACAGATTTCCACCTCACAGACTTAACTCTGCAGGTAATCTGTAGAACTGATCAATTCATGAAATAGGTCTATACCGTTTACAACAATGCAAGAGGACAGGTGATGAGAATTGCTTGATTATCTTAAATTATAACTTGATCATCTCCAAAAAATGCCCTCTTATTAGATGGAGGACAATGAAGATTAGATTTTCATAAGCACTTGTCCAGCAGAAAGTTCACTAGCCCAGACATACCCCTAGGAAAGAAGCTTGTTGAGTAAACAGCCTCTCGTACCCCCAATGCTTTTCCCAGCCATTCAAGGAAAATCAAAGATTCCAATCAACCCAAAATTT